TTCTGCATCCCCAACCCCATCCTTCCAGGGCATAGATTGTACAAGCTTTCTAAGACCACTCCAACAGACCCTCTTCTTATTTTTCCCATTCTTCAAATTTGTATTCCAAAAGGTGGATACATTTTTCACTGTGAAAAGACATCTGGGAGTGGTGGCACACACCTGTAGACCCAACTCTCGGGAGGCTGAGGCAGGAAGATCTCTGCAAGTTCAAGACCAGCCTGGGTTACATAGCAAGACCCTGACTTGAAAAGCAAACAAACAAGCACCTGGGAGGCTGAGGCAGGAGGATTACCTCAAGTTTGAGGCCAGCCTGGGCTACATAGTGAGTTCAGGGCCTGCGTGAACTATAAAAGGGAGACCCTGCCTCAAAAACCCAAAACAAACAAGCAATGCAGCCTGAAAATAGAGAGGTGGCAAAAGATTTTAAAAAGTGAACTGAGTCTTAGGGTCTCCAGTTACAGTCTCAAATGTCCAATGTGTGACATTGAAGTAACAGAAAGAGAAATCACAGAAGAAAATATTTGAAGAAATACTGGCCAGAACCTTTCCAGACTTGATGGAAAACTAAATTTCTCCATTAAAAAAGCTTTGTGGGCCCTATCCAGGATAAATTCAAAGAAAACCATACCCTGAAACATCATAACCAAATTGCTGGAAATAAAAGAAAAAATCTTGAAAGATGATTTGCAGTATAAGTGTTTATTCATCAGAGACCATGGAGAACAGAAGACATCTGATTGAATAACATCTTTAAGTGATAAAAACTCGGTCAATTGAGAACTCCATCTTAAGCAAACACATTCTTCCTTCAGGAACTAAGATGATAAGAAAAGGAAGATAATTCATCACCAGGAGACCTGCTCTAAAAGCTAAAGGAAATTCTTGAAGCTGGAGAAAAATAATACCAGGTAAAAAATTAAAACTTAATCATGAAAAAAAAAAAGTGTGCCAGGAGCCATTTCCTGACTTCCCCAAAGTCAAAATGACCAGGAAAGGTCAGTAGGTTGAATCAGTTTAGGACATGAAGGCCCAGAACCGTGCAACTAAAGACACTCATGAAAGAGGACTCCAGAACTGCTTCAGAAAGTGTTAAGAACGATGGGATAAATGTGTTCAAAGCAGGAGGGTTTTTAGGGGGATTAATGGCAATATGTCTTTTAGTGTAATTTTTAAAAAATTAAAACATTCAGGACCAGGGATTTAGCTCAGTGGTCCTGCCACCTGCCTCGAAAGTGCAAGGACCTGAGTTCGATCCCTGGTACCAAAAATTTAAACATTCACCCTATTTTTAATCTGTTAAAATTTTTTTTTGGTTTTTTTTTGTACCAGGGATCAAACTTAGGATCTTGCACTTGCGAGGCAGGCAGCGGCACCACTGAGCTAAGTCCCCGGCACACATCACACTATTTTTGGAAGGTTAGGTTTTTGTTTTGGTTTTGGTTTTGGTATCGGGGATCAAACTCGGGACCTTGCGCTTGCAAGGCAGGCTAAATCCCCGGCATCCATTCACACTATTTTTTAATCACACCTAATAATGTTAATGGTGTGAAGACTCCTATTACTAAGATGTCAATTTTTCCCAGATAAATCTATAGATTAAACATGATCTCAATCAAAATCCCAACAGAATTTCTTTATAGATAGTAATTCTAAAGCTAATTCTAAAATGTATATGCTAGGGCAAGGGAACTTAAATAGTCACAAAGATTTTGAACCAGAACAAAAGTTGAAAGATCTACATTACTGGATTTTAGGGTTTATTATAATGCCACAAGTGGTTTTATAGTAGTGGTTTTATCAAGACAGAGCAGTGTGGATAAAAATACAGGGACATCTGTCAGCGGAGTCCAGAAACAAGGTCTACATTTATACGGTTAATTGTTGGGTATTTTGTTTTTGTTTTGTTTACAAAGACATAAAATGAATTCAATGGAGAAAGGATAGTCCCTTTTCAACTGGAACAGAAATAATCAGACATTCTTACAAAAACCAAACAAATCTTGACCAATACCTCACATATTATGCGAAAATGAACTAAAAATGGATCCTAGACATAAATGTAAAACCTATAGCTATAAAACTTCTCCTAGAAACCACGACAGAAAAGCTGTGTGACCTTGGGCTAGGCACTTCTCTTATTAGATAAACACTGAAAGTGCAATCCATGGAAGAAAAAGATAAATTGGGCTTTTCATCCGAAAGCCACTTGTATTATTAGCCAATTAAATGCAAGCAGAAGTGCCATATGTCATTTCTAGGCAAAAGCTTTAAAAGCCAGCCTGGTCTTCAGCCTTCTGCATCCTGTTCAGATCGGACTTGGCCATGTAATTTTCTTTGGCCAATGAAATGTGAACAAAATTAGTACCTATAAGCTATAAAAGCCAGTTTGTGCCGTGCCTTTCTCTTCTCCCTCTGCCTGGCTGAAGCTTAATGTCCCAATCAGAGGCTGCTCCTTGGCCTTGGCTAATTAGCAAAGATGACATGTAATAGAACACAACCTTCCGGCTGTGATTATGTAGCATGAGTGAGAAATTATCTACATTGTGACCCTGTGATTTCAAGGTTGGTTACTTGTAGCATAATCTAGACTCTTTCTTCATGCAATTTCATTTGGTGTGGCTTTTAGTTGGTAATACCTAAGAATGAGGCATTTCAATGTTACCAGTAATATATCTCCAAATCTCAGGGAGGGATGGTTTATCTTTTTTGAGACAGAGTCTCCCTATGCAGTTCAAGCTGGACTTGAACTCACTATGTAGCCCAGGCTGACCTTGAACTCATGCTGATCCTCCTGGCTCAGCCTCCCCAGTACTGGGATTCCAGGCCTGTGCCACCATACCCAGCTGGGATGATTTATTTAGCTGAGGATTTCATATGTAAATCTAGTCACAACAATAAATCTAGTTACAACCACAGTATGTAGATTTATTTTTAACCTCTGAGAATCTTTCCTTATCTTCTGTGGGCAAAATCATTCTCATGCATTCATTTTCCAAGTGTTGAGAGCCAATCAAATGCCAAGCTTTGTGCTGGGTGCTGGAGAGAGCAACAAACAAGGCAAACCTAGCCTGTCTCAGTAGAGGTTTTATTCTAGTGGAAAAGACAGTCAAGAAACAAGTAGTTACACAATGACGTAAAACCAGTTGTGATAAGAGCTAAGATGATGAAGCCAGGATATTGGAGTATATACCAGTGGACCCGACCAGGCCTGGGGCCATCATACTCTTCTGGGGCAGGAGAGATAAGTGACCTAAATTACTGAAAGGAAAATGGAAAACGGGGGGGGGGGGCACCAGAACCCTGACTTCCTACTTAGGTGTTCTGTGCTTTTTGGACCAAACCTTGGAAAGCACCTTATGTGTGGGATAACAGCCTATTTATACTCAAAGGGAGAGCCAGCTAGAATATGGATGAATCAACACTCTCCCCTCAGCGATATTAAAAAACAATTCAAAACAGAACTTTCAATGATGTTAGGTCAGTAGAACCATCTCAGCTCAGGAAAGCTGATGCCAAATCCTTCATTTTTATAAGCATAGCAAAGTTAAAACACTCAACACACCCAGGCTGGGCAACAAGACAGCACTCAGCAAGAGCCACCATACTGCCAACTATGCGCTTCCCTATTTGGGCTGAAACATTTTGTCAGAAAGTAATCATCTCCAATCCTGCGATTTGGCCAAGTTCTTTTATTTTGCCATAATCTAGGAATCATTCCAATTTGATGTTACTCAATTAAAAAGAAGTTTCCTAAGCACCTACTGTGTGCCGAACTCAAAAAATGAGTCACTGTTCCAAAGGAACTCACGACCTAGCAGTGAAATCATTAACAAACTGTCTCAACCAGTGCTTTGACGATTGGTCAATCATATTTTTCAAGATTTCTCAGCATGTGGACATGGTGAGGGGAGGGAGCATTATTAAGTGAAGTCGTGTAGGATTTCATTTTCTTCCTTTCTTTGGTGCTCTTCTTGCTTCATAACTTCAAGATGGGCACAATGCTGGCAGCATGTTTCTCTATGAAATCCAACTCCTTGGCACCAAAGGGTTTGGGGAATATTAGATATGAGGGCAATTTGCTAATCTAAACACAGGCAGCCTAACTTGGACCGACCACTAACCAGATGTGTGTCGAAGTCACTAACCCTTGCTAATTTCGGGGGGTTTGTTTGCTCATTTATAAGATGGTGCATCCCAAAGGCTCAAGTATCTTCCAGCACTAAGATTCCTTTCCTTGCTTTGGAAAATCTGCACCTTGTCACTACCATTAAAAAGTTTTGAAATTACGTAAGTATTACAAGAAGCCTTCTTGCAATAGGGTTTGGACCCACAGCACCCAAGGAAGCAATGATGGTCCTGTGGTATTTCCTGCCCCCCCCCCCCGCCAGTCCCGAGTTCGGAAAGAATGTGTAAGATGTCACCAAGGAGCCCCGGCCAGAAGTGGCGTTGCCCATCCTTCTGCAAACGGATTACCAGGCCTGGGGCCTCCCTCACAGCCTGTGGTGCTGCCTCCGGCCTCCACGTCGCACTCTGGTCCTCAGGGTGCCATCTCAAGGTGCTCTGTCCCAATATTCTAGCCCAGTGGTCATCCCAAGGAGGGGCTGTCAAGGGTCAGGGTTTCAGAGAACCCGAAGGCTGGGGGGCTGTCCTGGAAAAGCCACCATTGAAGTACCAAACGTAGTCAGGCGGGCACCCAGAGGCCACATCGAGCCTCAAGCGCCAGTCACGACATCACGGACTGCACTGCACCAAAGACCTTCCGCCAAGTTCGGGTCGTGACCCTCAACACCGACGCCTGCCTAGGGCCCTGGGCCCGCCCCTCGCCCTGCGGCCCCGCCCACTTCCGGTCGGACCGAGATCACGTGCCCTGATACCCTCCACCCTCGCGGACGCGGCTCTCCTCGCGGGGAGCGTCCTAGCGTCCCTTCCGCCGGAAGTGGGAAGACTTTCCCTTTCCGGCTACGGGTCCCCGAGCGGAGCGGGAGGACGGACCCGGGAGCCGAGTGGCGGCGGCGGCGGCGGCGGCGGCGGCGGTGGTGGTGGTGGTAATGGCGGAGCTGGTACAGGGGCAGAGTGCTCCGGTGGGCATGAAAGCCGAAGGCTTCGTGGACGCTCTGCACCGGGTCCGGCAGGTACGGCCTCAGCAGGCTGGCGGGAGCGCGAGAGGCCGAGGCGGGGCCGGGCCCGGAGGAAGGGGTCGGGCCTGGGGGCAGGAGGCAGCCAGAGCCGACGCCTGAGCGGGCCTGGGCGTCCGCGGGGCTGCTGCAGCCGGGATGGGCGGCGCCGCGAGGCCCAGGCCCAGCCGGTCGGGGGGGTCTCCCCAGGTGCCCGAAGCCACTGGGATAAGAGTGCCCACAGCGCTTGCCCCATGGCGTCCCCACGCTCAGGCTGGAACGAGACACAGGGCAGCCAGCGCGAATTTCAGGGGTTCGCGAGGGCTTTTGGAGAGCTCGTGGTGAGCAGCCAGGTGTAGACGTAAGGCAGCTGTCTCACGCCTTTTAAGTAGCTTGTTAAACCTTAGAAAGCACCCGTCCTTGGACTTTATGTATTTCGAGAGTGGAGTGGAAGAAACTAGGATATTTTATTTTTTGAGGATACTCTTTAAAGGGAGGTGTTAGAAGGGTGGTCCCCAAGAAGTAGAAGTTGTTCATGGCAATAGTTTTTCCTCCACGAGAGAGGATGTGATGTGGACTCATTCAGACAGCGAAACTTTACCATCTGACAATGTGCATTTTTGTCAGAAGTAAACTGGTTCTTAAGAGGTTACAAGCTTCCCTGAACAGTGAACATAAGGCCTGCCAAAAATATTCTCAGGTTTTTTGGCATGATGCTTAGAACAGATCATGTATTGTGTCTAAAACTTACAAGTTAGCACTAAAACACAAACTTCTTATGTTGTGTGTCTTCCTAAGTAATTACAAGCACGGATGCTTTAAAAGTTGCCCTGTAACTAATGACTGCTTGATTCCTAACAGAAAGCCGCAGGACTCATTGTATTAGAAGAAAGTCTCCGCTTGGGGGCTTGAAGATGTGATCTTCCCATCTCTTTCCAGTATGCCAAGGGAGGGAATCCTACCTGTCTCCCAGATACTGACTTTTCATGTTAACACTGATGCTCCTGTAGAATTACATTGGATCCCAGAACTTTCCAAACCTGTTTCCACCTAAAATTTTGTCTGACACATTGTTACTTGTTGGTTAGGTGCCAACCAATCCAGTAGTGAGTTTCCATCTTACTTAGACTTCAGAGCAACCAGCTGGCTGTAATGGATAAACATGCCATCCAGCTCCCTTTCCACCATTCTGCTTGCTGGCACATTACTGCGCTCTCCTCTGCAGTACAGGATCCTGAACCTTGTTTCTCACTGGCTACTAATAATGCAATGGCTTTCACTCTGTGCTGTATGTGACAGTCGTCTTGTTGGCCTGCTGTGTCCAGGAAAAATTATAGTCACTGTCTTAAAGAGCTCAGACCCTCAGTTTACAGGAGGCTGTAGTTGAACATTAAATGAATTTTGAACCATTGCGAAGACTTTCTGCTTCTCTTGAGCTGGTGGTTGGACAGCCTGCTCAAGAGGGAGACCCTCTGTTAAATGCTGCCCTAATGTGGACTGTTGAAGCAGTTGTGTTTACTCCTAGCAGTGAAAATGTCACTGGACTTGTCCTCAGCACCATTGACACGCAGTACCGAGCCCGCTGGAGCTGGGGCTGTAACTGTATTCCTTCTGAATGTTAACAGCTGAAGGTCCTTACTGTCTCCAAGGATTTGATGGCATTTAAAAACTAAAGGAGAAACAGGTTTGTGGGTACTTTTAGGTTGTCGTTATAGATTTGTATTGAGCAAGGATTGTGTGTTAGAAATCTGTAATGTGTGCTTGTAGTAAAGCTTGCCTCAAAAACTGGCATATTATTTGGGCATCTGTATGGCTGTGTATTCACCATTGAATACACAGCATATTGCAGAGTTGTGATTTTTTTTTTTCCCCCCTAGTAAATGAAAATACGACAGTATATTTCATTAAACACCAGTGACGGTCTATAAAGAGCCTCCTGGGAAGTTTGCTAGAGAGTGTTTGTAAGCTTTTTTTTTTTTTCTGTACTGGAGATCGAACTCAGGACCTTGCGCTTGCCCGGTAGGTGCGGCACCACTGAGCTACATCCTCGGCCCATGTAAGCTGTCTTGTACTCAGTTTTTCTAGCAAATTGTAACAGAGTCTGAGTTGACCCTGCTTGAATTTGAATCTGTAGTTTCAGCATCTGAACCACTAAGCTTCCTTTCTGGCATCTTGAAGTGTCTTTGTATATCCTTTGGACTCTTCCTAGCAGTGTGAACCAGTGATTGCTCCTAGTTATTTGGACATCATATTCTTAGATCAAAAGGGAGCCTCTGAAAATGTCATATGAAATTTAATTTTTTTCCCAAATAGTGGGAGGTCCCTTGAATTAATAGTGTTTGACACAAATGGGTAATTTACATCCATTCTGAAATGTGATCTGATTCAGTCCTATTGATGAAATTTAAAACTACTGGGTATTTCAAAACCTCATGGCTTGTTCTTCTGAGTCAATGGTTAGCACAAATAAAATATTTCTTCCATTAGTTTAGAGAAGGCAGGATCCTAATAAAGGTGGGATGTGGGGTCAAAGCCAAAGTGGGTCGTCTTGTTCCATGGCCATACTGTGTAGCTGTGTCCTGTCATCTAAGTTACAAGGGACCTCACTGAGATCATGGGCCAGCAGATTCAACTCTGTTTTATTTTTCTTTTTCCAGTTTCCCTGGAAAGTCTACCAGTAGTTTAGTAGCATGTGTCACTGGGTGCAAGCAATCACATGTTAACAAGGAAATGTGCTCCCACCATGTTATAGATTCCCAAGAGCCATCCTTGGGCTGGACCAGCTGTCTGTCAGGTGTTCTCTTGCCAAATTGCTAATACTCGGTGTGTGGGGGGGTGCCTGGGGATTGAACCAAGAGCCTTCACACTGAACCACATTGCCAAGCCCATTTATTTGCTTATTTATTTTTGAGGTAGAGTCTTGCTAAGTCACTAAGTTGCCCAGGCTGGACTTGAACTCACAATCCTCCTGCCTTGGTCTGCCAGAGCACTAGGATTATAGGCATGGGCCACCATGCCTGGCTCTGCTAATACTCTGGGAATTTAAGCTCCTGTTATGGTCTAGACCCAAGCAGTGTCCCTTTGCACTGCACAACTGGAGTGTTCTGCTGTATAGAATGCAGTATAAATGCCTCGTGGAGCTCAGCATCATGGTAGCCCTGCACCCAAATGACTGTGACCAAGCCATTGTAAAACCAATAGAAATAACATTTTGTTGGCTTTTGGGGCTTGGAACTTAGTTTTTATTCATATCTTTTTTGGGGGAAATGTTGAATGGTGTGTTGCCTCAGAAATTCAGTCCTCCAGAAATGCATCCCCATGCTGCCTCTTCCTGCTTGAGCCTGAGCGGTGGATAATTGGAATGTGTGCTTATACCTTGGGCTGATCAGGACATTAGTGCTTTAAGATGCTGACTCTTCTATCAGCATGGAATTTCCTTTAAGAGAGCAGTATACATCTGCCGTTAAGAGAACGAGCTCCATTCATTGGCTGTTGGCTACGCCTTGGGAGATTTCTGCCTTTGATCATTTCATACACTCATGGGTTTTTTGGGGGGTTTTTTGGTACTGGGGATCGAACTCAGGACCTTGCACTTGTGAGGCAGGAAGCAGAACCACTGAGCTAAATCCCCAGCCCTCATGGTTTTGGTTCATGGTGCAACCCAGTGTATTGGACACCTGAGAGATTTTAGTTGTACACCATTGAGACTGTCTTGTTGACAGTCCAGTGGTTGAATTGTTCAAGTAGGCATTTTTCAGGGGACTTAACTCCTGCCTGTGCAGTCATTAGTTTTCTCAGACACTTGAAGGAAACCAGTGTCTGCATGCAGTCCATGGACTGCTCCTGTAACTCTGCTTTGATGGATGCAGTAAAGTACCCTGCAAAGAGCAAGTCCTCCTTAGAGAGTGTGTGATGTTACAGAGCCTGTTTGGGTCACTGCATGTTAATGGAGGTGCTGAGCTGCTTACTGGTCTTGAGAAGTAGATGGTAAATGAACTCCATTCACTGAATGCTTCTGAGCCTTGTCCCATTTTCAGCTGAGACTTCACTCAATCTGCCATCCCAGACGTCCATTCTATGAGACTTTGCTTTCTTTTAAAGCTCCCGTTGTCCTGGAGATACCTAGATAACAGTTCTCCCACTAGTGGCCCATGGACTAGAGAAGGTTTACGTTGGAGGCTTGCTCAGTTTGACCCACACAATACCAATATTTAGAAACGGAGAGTGACTTTGCATAAATATTGAGATTTTTAGCTTCTCTAGAAAATATCTGACCACCTTGTCCTGTGTGGCAGCCATCAGCAGGAGCTGAATAGCTGCCTCTTCATGTGGGTGTGGGCTCTGAGTTGCCTTCGCCCCAGGGCCATGCTACTCCTGTTTCACACCAGCTGAGATTCCTGATTGACTGCTGATCCCTTTCCAGATTGTGGGCCCACCATCTCTGCTTTTCACCTGAAATTTCTGATGGAAAGAACTCTGGATGGGTGCTTAGGGGGTCTGAGTCCCCTGCAAGTAGCTGCAGGACCTTGAGCGAGGTGGTCTATACGGGGTTAGAGTACAGGCTGCCAATTACTAGATCACCATGGAAAAGAGTTAGTGGGCAAATAAGTTCAGGATGTACAGGGGTAAACTTGAATTCACTTCTCTACTGCAGGGCCTCTCAGCGTATTTAATAGGTTAAGTGCATTAACACCTGCATGGCTGGGAGGTTTGTGCATTGTAAATAGGCTGAAGTTATGTGACACTGTGCCCTCTTTTCATGGAGTCAAGTCATACTCTGTGACTCAAACTTCAGAATATGTAGGCTAGGGAGGTAACCAAGTGGTACAGCACTTACCTAGCGTGCACAAGGCCCTGGGCCAAGTTGTAGTCACACACACACGCACACACAACACACACACACATGCACACACAGAGGCAACACTTTAGGGAATGTGTTAGATGCCCTCAGTGGTCCCAGATCATGAGCATTCAGAGCTTCCATCTATTTGACCGTATTACAGTGATTCTTTTGCTTC